AGCATGAACAACAGTCCATTTTTGTAGAAGAATATTAATTAAAGTGAAATCAGTTATTTTAAATGATCAAATTATGAGTCAAATCATAACATCTTCAAACTAGTGCAGACTGAACAGTGTCTGTCTACCTTGTTTCATACAACCAGGCCAGATGTAACTTAACTACTTAAACTTGTGCCTGTGTATTTGCACAAAGCTAAAACATTGAAACTTCACAGAAAAAGGATGAATCTCAATGAGATATAATAAAACATTCTTATTTGGAAAATTAATATTGAACACAACAATATCCTCATTGTTTCAATATATGAAATATGAACTTGTGTTTATTTGATGTTATTTGCAATTTCCCTAAATTTCATATTTAACGCACTGATTTATTACAAGAACAGTGATTTTTTTCTTGTTAAAAGTGAGTCTTGCCATGTATGAGAGCACATTCTTTATGTCCAGCATTTGGGAGGCAGAGCGGGAGCATCACCAACAGGCCCAGGCTGATGACCTGGGACTGGGTGTGTGGACCACGTTTACATGGTGAAACCCTGTCTCAGGAAAAAAAAAAAAAAAAAAAAAAAGGCTTTAAAATTCTGATTTATAGGTCATGATTGCCATCTGGTGGTTACACTGTCCAGTTGCAGTCTTTGTTTCAAAAGAGGCTGGAGCGACAGCCAAGCAGTTAGGAACATTGGCTGCTCTTGCAGAAAACCTGGGTTTGGTTCCCAGCACCCACACGGCAGCTAATAACTCTCTGTAACTCCCATTCCAGGGAATCCAATGCCCTCTTCTAGCCTCCATGGGGACTGCATGGGGACTTATATACAGGCAGGCAAAACATTTATTCACATTTTAAAAATCCTTATTGATTGCTTTACTAAAAGACAAAGAGAAAATAGCTGTTTCAAATATATACATATATATCACAAATTTCCATGTAAGAAAGGTAATCTTCTAAGTCATGAGAATTTCTATGTCTACAAAAATATTATGTCTAATTATATTAAACTTTTTTGTCATTTTGTTACATGATAAAATATCAGGTATGCTTATTTAAGTTATTATTAATATGAATGCAACTAAAACGTGACCCAAATAATTGTTTAAAATAACAAAGTCAAGATAAGAAGACACTGTTAGAGTACTTATGAAAAGATGAAGATATACACAATTCTGCACTGTGAATAAAACTACATCATTATTTCTTTCTAGGTAGCTCCATTCTTTTTGTAGCTGTTATGATTTCATTTCTGTTGCTGTGTTAAAATACCCTGCCCAAAACTGATTTAGGGGAGGAAGGGCTGGGCTTGCTATTCCAAGTTTCAGTCCATTGCTGAGGGGAATCAAGGCAGGAACCTAAGGCATCATGTCCATAGTCAAGAGCAGAGAGAGTAAACACGGTCCTTGCTTGCCAACTGCTTCTGCTTGCTTAAATCATACGGTTCATGGCCGAACCCATGAAATGGTGCTGACCACATTGAGCCTTCCTGCATTAACTATTAAGAAAATTCCCCTAGACATGCCCACAAGCCAACCTGAGTCTAATAATATTAATCATAAAGAGGTTTATTTGGCACACGCTTTTGGTGGCTGGAAGGTATATCTGGCTTTGTCCTTATGTGGTTGGCATACAACTGTTTCTCCTTATAGACAACACTACCTTGTGTATTTCCCAGTGTGCATGTGTGGAGGCAGCTTTCTTCCAATCGCACTTACCAAGGCATCACAGTCTCAACCTCCCTGCATTCTTCTTGTTAACTTGGAAAGAGTCTCCAGAGTGGAAAGGAATCTCATCTGAGATTCCATTCTCTGGTAATCCTTGGTGGTGCCAAGTTGAGTTTTATCTTTCTTGTTGTGACCAAATATCTGACAAGAAACAGTCTAATGGGGGGGATTTATTTTGGCTCATAATTTGAAGGTATAATCCCTCAGGGAAAGCATGGCAGAGTTCATAGTGGCAGGAGTGTGTGGCTGGGCTCCTCACAGTTTGGTGGACCAGAAACAGAGAAAGGGGAATGCCAACACAAAACTTAACCTTTTAACTCAATCCAGGACCACAGCACATGGGATAGTATCACCCACATTCAGGCTGAATTTTTCTCTCTGCTTATGAACTTCTCTGGAAATGTTCTCAAAGGCATGTCTAGAGATGTATCTCATAGGTGATCCCAAATTCATTCAAGGTGACAATGAAGATTAGACTTCACAGTAACGGAACCTAAAGCAAATTTAGGCAAATGTCTCTAGTTAACAAATATTACTGTTAGATAACAAACTTGGAACTAACATAATTCCATGACAAAGAATCCAGGTGATCAAGATATTAATTTGAAGTAATGCTTGTGTCCTATACAACGACCTATAAGTAACACTTGTTTATTGAATATGTGCCATATTTCAGGTGCTTTATAAGCATTATTTCATTCAGTAGTGCCAGCCATTAAGAGAGTTGATTTTATTCAGATAAGGAAATTCTAGAGTGGCTAAATGGGTACAGTATCTAAGGTCACAAACTGTTAATCTTCATATATGAGTTCGCTAAATAAAAGATTTAGATTGATGCCCAAAACATAATTAATCCTATTATGTTATTATGCATCTAATTCAGAAAATATATTGTGCTTTTTTAAAGCACTGCATCACGACTATTTCCTTTGTCACTGAGTATTCCTTCAGAATGACTATGTCTGCAGCACAGCATTGTATGAGTGTTCTATAATTTAGTGTTTGCTATTAGAGCTATTTCCAGTTTTTCATTGTCATAAATAACACAATGAATAGTCATATAAAACATTATTTTTATATACAAATGACTAGATTTATATCTAAAAGGGATAGGACATAGATAAGAACATGATTCTATAGGCAGTTGGAAAGAAATTATAAGAAAAAAATTGACTAAAAAGAAAAATCACTGCACTCCCCTTATTGTTCCAAAATACATAACTTAAATATTTATATTAGAGCATAGCATGGTGGTGCATACCTTTAATCCCAGTACTTGGGAAGCAGAGGCAGGCAGATCTCTGTGAGCCTGATCTACATACTGAGTTCCAGGCCAGTGGAGGCTACAGGGAGGCCCTGCCTCAAAAAGACTAAAAAAAATTTATATTAAAAATAAGTTGTTTTCACAAGGTACGGTGGCACATTCCTTTAATCCCAGCCCTCAGGCAAAGGTAGGCAGAGCTCTGTGAGTTGCAGGCCTGGTCTACATAGCAATTTCCAGGCCTTACATGGGTAGATCCTGTGTCAAAAGCAAAACAAAACAGGGGCCTGGAGAGATTGCTTAGTGGTTCAGAGCACTTCCTGCTCTTTCAGAAGGACCTGAGTTCAGTTCCCAGCATCTACATCTTTGGGTGGGTCACAACCACCAGTATCTCTAACTCCAGGGGATCCAATGCCCTCTTCTGGCCTCTTTGGGTACCCACACACGTACACCTACACATATACAAACACAAATAAAATAAGAATAAAAACTAAAAAAAAAAAAACAATCGAAATTTTTAAAAAATCAAACTAAATTGAAAAAAAACAAAAATAAGGTATTTTGTTTTTATTTTGTGCATTCATTTAACAATATTTTTTTCCAGTTGGGCAAGGTGACACAAATTTGTAATCCCAGGACTAGGGAGGCTAAGCCAGGAAGATCAGAAGATCAATGCTGGTCTGGGTTATATAGTAAGATCCTGTCTCAAAATATGCATGTGTATCATAGCAATGGAAACCTAACCAGAACACCCATCATGGTAGGTTTTATTACCCTGGGATTTTGCAGTAGAGAAACATGGATTGAACTCCAGTATAAGTACAAGTGGAAATTTATAGCTGTGTGTGTGTGTGTGTGTGTGTGTGTGTGTGTGTGTGTGTGTGTGCCAATCACTCAATAAAAACCTTTCATTTTAAACTTGGTATCAGACAGAATTTACTAGCTGTAAAAACATGGGCAAATTGCCATTTTCCTGGCCCTCTGTTTCTATGAACTGAGTAATAAAAACATCTTACGTGGCAAACCCTATGCAGGAATGTAGAAACGCTTCTTGAGAAAAATGTCTTAAAACGATAAATGAGCAGCACTTGTTTTGCACGTATTGAATTTAAATTTGTGAGTTGATGAATATAGTAAGTACTCTCAGACTCTAGGCCTTAAGTGGAGGCATAATTAATGTGGGCTAGAGAAAGGGGCTGAAGTTTGGAAGACAGAATTCAGACAGGCGGGAGAAACCATAGGGTAGGATGGTTTTCCGTCTGGGCAAAGGATGGCTATGGGATTTCTAGCTGTGCACCTCAATTGGGATGACTGGAATAGAAAATCAGCACCCAGGAAAATGGGAAATTCAAGTCACAAAGGTAGATTGGGGCATATTACTGAAGGCGTTGATGAGCGAACTAAGGAGTTTAACCTTAAGGAATATAGGGAGTCATGAGCATTTCTGAGCAGTGCTCCATCAGGAAAATAAACCTGGCCACCACGATCCAGAGTTTAGATGGCAAGTGTGGGTATTAGGAACGTCAGTGTGGTTCTAAAGCGAAAGGATCTAAAGGATGGAAAGTGAGGTGGTGTGGATGCCAGATATATAGACTGTGACAAAAGGCAGGGAGCATGACTGTGGCTTCTGTTCACCCATGCCTGCCTCTACAGCCTCTATAGGGCCAGGCCGTTAATAGAGACGCTGCGGCCGAGTGTCTCTCTTAGTTGTTCCTCATAGTTCTTGGTTTAGGAAGGTGCTGAAGGCGCGGAGCCCAGCCCTTCTAGGGCTAAGGAACTGTGCAAATTCACTGGAACCGATAGTGCTACTTCAAGAACGGACTAATTAGAACTTTCCGTGGGAAAATTTGCGGTGTCACCCAACGCTCTTCTGTCTGAGGATCTGGGGCAGGCCACACACACACACACACACACACACACACACACACACACGCACGCACGCACGCACGCAAGATGGACAGCCCCCCCACACGCACACGCACGCAAGAAGGACACACACACACACACACACTCTCTCACACACGCACACGCACGCAAGACGGACCCGTGCGGCTGCACTCGGTTGGCGCAAGGCAGCATGGACCTCACGCTCCATGTTTCCGCGGTCGCCATGACGACCAGGTTGCCCGCAACGGCGGCAGGGGCTGGTCGTTGAGGTTGCTGGTGAGTCCGGCCCCCGGGCTGCGCCGCAGTCGGCTGGGCCCCGCGCCACAGTGACCCAGCTCCATCCACCTGAACACGGACTATGAGAAGATGGTGGGACAAAAGAGGCGTAAGCCCAGGGACGCGGGCCCAGAGGCGCCCCAGTCTTCCCTCGCGGTGCCGTCGAGGCGGCGCCCGGCCTCCAGGGCCAGGGAACCGGAGCTGGAGCGGGTCAGGCCGCAGGAGGTGGCAAAGCCGCCGCCCCTGCAGCCCTTCCTCCTAGGCGGCAGGAACCTGCCCCGGGGCGCCCGAAACATCGCGCCCAGGAGGATCCGAAATATGAACGCGCAAAACTACTTTCAAATAGAAGAGATCACCGAGGGGCCTCGTCTCAGCCGTTTCCAATTCCTCCACAGTCTCCTGGAGCCGTTCCTCGTAAAGGTGCAGGGCTTGCGGAGTCATTGCTTCTCCAAAAAGGCTCTCTTCTGCACAGGTGAGCAGGGCCCCGCAGCCTGCTTGTCCCCAGCCTTGAGGTTTTTAGTGGTTTTCTAAAATCTTGGCGAGATTTGGTTAAGCACTGTTTCGGTTGTTGGGAGCGATGGATGATGAGATCCCAGAATCTCACGACAAGAATTCTCAGCCCTCCTAGTTCCTGTTTTAAAATACTTTGCAGGATTTTCGGACTGAGTGGTTACCTGCATGCACACAAAAAAATTACCTTGAGCAGTGAGTTTGTAAGAAAAAAAAGTTTGGCTGGCTTGGATAGAATTATGTTTCTCTATATTTTAAATAAAATAAAAATTCCTTAAGGTGACATTTTATAAAACAGGATCAAAGTAGACAATTATCTCCACATGTCGATACCCACCTTACTTCAGCCCTGCTGTGAGCTTCAGTGTGTGCAGCAGGGAAGTTTTCTTCCTTCATTATAGCGCCCATTTTCTGTAGTTTCTGAGGCCTAAAGTTTCATCAGACTAGTTACTGATACTGAGACATAAACGTCTAGATAAAGTTATTGTGGCTTCTTCCCTCACCATATGCTAGTTGACTTCAGATGAAGTCAAAACAGGATGAGTTGTCACATTGGAGTGTTAACGATAGAGGAATAATTGAGATTTGTATCTAGATTTTTATCAGATGTCTAATTATGCCAACATACTCATGGCACATCCACCACAGACAAGGGCTGTTTTCCTAAGTGTGAGCTCCGGGGTACTGAGGTCTAGAACTAGGAATCACCTTTCAGTGGCTAGTGAGACAGTGCCTGGCTATTGGCTCTGTGAGAGTTCAGAGTGGAAGAAGGGGACTAGATCAGTGAAGGCTGAGCAAAGGGTGGTAGGTGGACGGGATGTGAGTTCTGTCAAATTGCATGTGTGGAGTTAAGAACAGTGAGTATTAGAGACTGACAGAACAGCATGGTCAAAATCATGAAGTAAGACAATGTGATATGAAAGCAAAATTAGGCAGAAAGACAGGGCATGAAGAGAAATAGGAGATAAGTGACTTGGACCCACCACCTAGAGCCCAATTGAAGGCTGGTATGAGCTTCTTTCCGTCCAAAGGCACTGATGATTCTTTTCTGTAAAACTTCTTTGAAGAGATGAAATCTCATAAAATGTTAATTTTGTGTATATTAACTAGGTAATCGTGTATACAGTGGGTTGGAGATGAGACTGAGAAGGGAATCAGAAAGAATAGTTGGAAACTTATTACTAGAACCAGGCTACGATGGGCTCAGTGAAAACAGCAAAAGTGGAATGGAGAGGAAGAGGAAGAAGCAGAGAAGATTGCCTGGCCAGGCAGCCAGTGAGATGGAAGGAAGGGAATGAGGGTTATGGGTTTTGGAGTTATCCCTGTAGAAGTGAAAGTTGAAGCTTTAAACCTGTATGGGATTTCCAAGGGAAAAATGAGGAGGCCAAAGTAAAGATAACTGGGAACAATTTTTAAACTTAATTTTAAGAAAGGAGAGGAATAGGGAAACTGAGATAAGTGTATAAATGCATACGTATGTTTTGGAGGAGGTGTGGGATGAGAGGATTGGAGAGACCTAGAAATTTTTGAGAATATTTGGAAAAACAGATGGATTGGAAGGATATTTGATTTTTTTTAACATGGTGTGTGTGTGCGTGTGTGTGCACGCTTGTGTGAATGCATGCTCATGCGTGTGCACCATGGTACATATGTGTAAATATGCAGGTGTACCCAAACATGCAGAGAGGTCAGAGCAGAAGGTCAGATGTCTTCCTCCGTCACTTCTACCTTACTGTTTTGAGACAGGCTATCTCACTAAACTGGAAGCTTGCTATTTAGGCTAGGCTGGTTGGCCAGGGAGTTCTCAGGATCTACCTGTCTTTTCCCCACAATGCTTGGGTTACAAGCATGTGCAGCCAAGCCCGCCTTTTTAGCTGGGGCTGGGGAGTTAAACTCAGTTCCTCAGGCTTGCAGAGGAAACACTCCTACCAACTGGCACCTGCCCTGCCTCCTAGCCCAGCCCTTTACATTAAAAAATTATTTTCAGTAATTTTGTTCAGAATATGTAATTACAAGGAGAATAGGAAAGAACACACAAATATGTAGGACAGTTTCTGTCATTGTTAATAAAATATTCTGTCGTTGTTAATAAAACATTATCACAAGGACATCTTTTCAAGTTGAAAGTACAGGTTATAAGTGTTATCAGCATGGTTCAGAGGTTATTACATAGAAAGTGTTGGTATATGTAGCAAATGTGGGTTTTTTTTCCCTGTAACAGCCACAGTCTCTGTTGAATCTTCACCCTTGCTTTCTTCTTTATTTTTATAATCTTTTAGAAACATAAAGAGCATTTTTAGCTTGAAGATAGTATATAAAATGGGCCAGGGGCTGTAGTTTGCCTATCCTGATATAATACAAGTGAATACACTAAGTTTTTAAGGTGAGCTCAGCATGGTTGTAGTACAAAGAATTCAAGGAGCAAGGTTGGGAGTTTCAACACAGCAATTTCATGTTTCTTTATTGAATTACCTTGCATTTATTTTGTTAGCCAAGATGAATGGTTTTTGAGTTTTAAAATGTTAATGTTGGTAGTTTGTAAGCTATCTTGCCAAGTGTATTGGACTAGCTATAAGAAACACCACCCTAAATCTCGGAGGGAAGGCGGGACTTCTGGAGTTGTTCAGCAAAGTCATTCCTCCACAGCAAGGAAATTGGGAAATTATCAAATCAACTTTTTCAAACCTTTGGAAATTCGTGAAAGCACATTACAGTCGAAAGGGCATTCATTCAAGGACAGCTGCTGAAAAAGGACAGCGGGCTTCCTAGCGTTTAACTTGCTCTGCTTTTGTCCTCTTTCCAAACAAGCAACCTTGTAGTCACCAGGGAGGCAAACCATGTTTGAGCTCACAGTGTCCCAGTCCCAGAGCACTGTGGCACTGGATCTATCTCCTACCCCCTGGTAGTCTCATACATGTTTTAGGCCCTGGCCATCAGGGTGGGAAGTGGAGGGGCTAGATCCAGGAGCTCACAAAGAGCTGACAGCTTACCAGGGTTTGAAGTACATGATGGAACAAATGATTTTCTGCATTTTATGTTTGGATGAGTGTAAGAGACCATGTTCTATAATGGCTTCTGTGGGTTGGGTGGTTTTTTTTTTGAAAGAATCTACCTGTGCATAGTGTAGATATTTGCTGCTTTTTCAATTTTTATATAAAGGAAGAGAGAATAAGAAACACCAGAGAACTATACTGAAAAATCACAGAGGTTCACCCATCCACTTCATCAGTCTTACAAATGGCCTGAGAGAGAAGTGTAAAGCTTTCAGGCCCTTCCTGCATGCAAGTGTCAGGTTGGCCCTGCAAAGATGCTTGACTGACAGCTTGCCTCACATCCTTTTGGATTATTTTCATGGCTCGTGTAGACATAAGCAGCTGGTGATCTCATTTAGTGTGCTCTTATTCTAGACATGCAGTGCATTTGAAATGCTTATTATAAAGGTGTTTAATAACAAAACAGTTTTTAATTACTTTCTTTTCTCTTTTTCCAGCTGCCTTTGTGGGAATTTTGCACTGGTAAGATTTTTGTCTCCGTTTAAAATGCATAGGGACATTTGAGTTTAAATTTGCCACCACTATTTATAAATAGAAAAACAAAAAATTTCTGGCTATGTTTATAGAACATCTATATGTGTGCCAGTTTAACCTATGTATTACTTTTTGTATAAACCTCATATGTGAAAAGTAGATACTTTACAGGAATAGAACATGAATTAAAATATTTTACTTCACCAAGGGTCCATCATTGCAGTTCTTCAACTATTTTATGTTTCCATTGACTTTTGCAGATTATTTCATCTAAAAGACTTCATTATTTTATAGTACTATATGTTATTATTGATATAATTTTAGATATAATTTTATATATAAAGTCTTAATAAAACTTGAAAATTGAAAAATAGAAATGAAGACAAGGACTTTTTTTCTGAGCTGGAAATGATGGTGCACAGCTGTGATTCTAGTTCTTGGGAGGCTGAGGCAGGAGGGTTGTGAGGTGGAGAGCCTTGTAAGGCAGAGAGCCTGTCAGTATGCATCCATCAACAATCTATTTTATTAAAAGATTTATTTGTAAAACTCATATGTAAAGTTATTACTTTTTCCCCTGTAATATTTCATTTCTACCTTAGCTCAGGCTCTTCTACTTGTAGGAAGTATGGACTCTGTCCCCTGTTTGCTGGGTAGTACAATTATGCCCATCTAGTCTACAGAGTAATTTTCAGGCTGGAGCAGTAGGAACCATTTCTTTAGCTATTGGTTCCCTGGTATGTGGCCTGTGTGTAAAGGGGGAAACTACATTGCTGTATGAAATTTTGTTTTGTTTTTGGCTTCAGGGAAAGTAGGACATATTCTGAAGGTAACGTAATTCCTGACCATGGCACTTGGACCACATAGCCTCCTACCACCTCCAGCAGCTGCTGAGTTTCACCACTAAAATATTTTCAAATACAGGTTTGTGGGAAATTAAAAGATCATTTGTATGGACTTACACTTATTTTAAAATTACTTTATTCAGGGGCTGGAGAGATGGCTCAGCGGTTAAGAGCACTGGTTGTTCTTGCAGAAGACCTGGGTTCAAATCCCAGCACCCACATGGCAGCTAACAATGTAACTCCAGTTCCAGGGGATCAGACAGTCTTTTCTGTCCTCACAGGCATTGCACGACACGGGTGCACTTACCTACATGCAGGCCAATACATGCATACACATAAAATAAAAATAATAAATAAAATAGTTTTTAAAGTCAGTTAAAATTACTTTATTCAAAAGTGATTTTGGCCTGGTGTGGTGGTGCATGCCATTAATCCCAGCACTCTGGAGGCAGAGGCAGGCGAATATCTGTGAGATCGAGAATAGAGAGTTCTGGGCCAGCTGGGTCTATAGGAGACCCTGTCTAAATAAAAAGGGGGGGGGGCGGAAATCCCCCAAAGTGATTTTTGTTTAAAATTGTACTCTGACTGTTTTTCAGTGGTTACAGAAGTGTTTCCCAAACCTGGTATTTTTGATCTACTCCTGAAACTTGAAAAACAAAACAAAAATCTGCCTGTGCTTTGATTAAGAGGCTTGGGGTACAAAGAAGAATGGAAGGGCCAGAGGAATTTTAGATACGCAAATTACGAATGGTGTTAAAGAATTTGTACGGCACTGGATTATACGTGCTTACAAATATTTGAGTTCATAAACAAATGGCAATACTACCTAAACATTATCTATACAATTATTTTCTTATTTTGTAACTTTCTGAAACTAGTTATTTTAGTTCTGACTTTGAAACCTATTCTTATTATAATGCATTTTTCCCCCCTAGGATGCACTTAATAACACTTTTTGAAAATGACCGTCATTTTTCTCACCTCTCATCTTTGGAACGGGAGATGACTTTTCGCACAGAAATGGTTAGGTTCTTTCTTCTAATGAATTAATTTGTGGTTTAAGAAAGTAGAATGATAAGGTAGAAATTTAATAGGAACTTAAATGAATTTTTGGTGAATGGCATTGTTTCTACGGGCTATTGTGTGCTATTTGCCAGGTTACTAGACACTTTGGATACCTCTTTATTTTCATTATATAATCCCTGTGAAGCTTTCAAGAATTGAACGTGTTGACATTTGTATGGCACTTGAATCCTTCAAAGGTATTATTTTCAAGGATTGCATATAAACTATTATTAAGTAAAGAAGGCAGCTGTGGCATTTTGGGCTTCTGTAACAAACACTGGATTCAGAGAGCAGGTCTGTGCTTCATTGTATGATGGTTGTCAGTTATCTCCCTGATTCTCTGTCATCTTACCTGTTAGACAGACATAATGCCAAACTTATGGTTTTGTAGCAAAAATAAAGGAGATTAATGAATGGAAACACACGGGATAGTGCTTGGCATAAAAGACTAGTTTACCATTAACAAAACCTTATTTGTGTGTTTACTGTTCTCTAAGCACAGACTTTGGCATATTAGATATCTTTTAATTGCTATTTGTCTTACCTTCCTATGCTGAAGATAAAAACTGTGTGGAAATGGCCTATTAGAGACCAACTAAAACAGTTCTTGAATTCAGAAGCCACTAGCCAGAATAAGTATAAGGATGAATATTATTTTTTGAAGAATGAGGCATTCAATTTATTTTTATAAAATTTTGGCATTTCATTTTTTATTTTATTTGAAAGCAGCAAAAGAAATCTGAAACAACATACTTCCTAAAACTCCTTATATTTTAAATCAGTAGCTCTTTTACTAGCCTACTGAGGCCATTCCATCCAATGCTGGAATGATACCCAAAGATAATCTTAGTACATAGCATTTCTGAGCAGTTCAAGCCAGTTGACATTTTGCTTTTGCTTTGTGCAGACATCAGCTGGAGCTGGATTGCTGTACTTCCAACTGCCTGCTGCTTATTAGAATCTATTATTGCTTAAGAGTGTGGGGAGAAATAATTTCCTACATGCAAAGTTGCACTGTGTCATGAAGGCATCCCTTACATGCCAACCTCCAAGAATGTGGGAGGCAAACTAGATTTGGTCAAATTAAAAGTACATTGAATGTATATTTTAAAGCACTGTTAGCAAAGTGCTACATGTGACAATTCTTCCAGCTGTCTGCTCTGAAAATTTTAAAACCCACAGAAAAATGGAAACAGTATAGCCCTGGCCTGAAAAGACATTCTTTTTGAGTCTGAGAATGTTAATAGTTAAGGAGTAATTAAAAGGCCTTCTTATTGATCTTTTCCTTTCCTTACAGAAGAAAAGTGTGCTAAAAAGAGTATAAACACTTTAAAACTACTTACATTGACAGTGTGTGCCTTTCTTAAAAGGGACTTTATTATTCCTACTTCAAGACCATCATTGAAGCACCTTCGTTTCTGGAAGGACTGTGGATGATCATGAATGACAGGCTGACTGAATATCCCCTCATAATCAATGCAGTGAAGCGCTTCCATCTTTACCCAGAGGTGAGTAGTATTTTGAGACAAATATTACTTGAAGACTATTGTCAAGTAAAAGTAGCAAACAGAGACTCTCTCAAAAGGAGAGAATAGTTTACATTTGCTAACTGTAGATCATCTTACATTAGAGCACACTGTAAAAAGTTTCTCTTTTAAAACTTAAAGTCTGTAGAATCTGTGTTCACATGAATTCATAGAGTAAGCTTTTGAAAAATATTTTAGTTCCTGATGCCAGCATCTTTCCTGGATGGGTCCCATGGTCTTCTATACCTTGACATCCCAGCCTCATTCACCCTCCCAGCTCACCCACCCTGTCTATCCTCCTAGCCTGGATACTAGCCCATTTCTTGTCTTGGCACCCCAGACACCAGGGCGGACCTCTAAAGCCCAGAGCCACCACTGCTTCCTGATTCTTTGCATCCAGACCAACCACTTCCTCCCTGTGGTCCCCAGGAGCCCTCTGGGTCTGGTCCTGCCCCCACCTACCTTTGCTTCCCTGGGTGGCTCAGCCACCAGCTTCCTGGTGCTAACATCTTTCCTGGGTGGATCTTGTGGCCTGTGGCGACCTTGACTCTCTCAGCCTCATTCAGCCTCCCTGCTCCCCTCCTAGCCTGGGTATTGGCCCATTTCTTGTCTTGGCACCCAAGACCCCTGAACTGACCTCTTGGCCCAGAATCCCCACTGCTTCCTGATCCTTTGCATCCAGACCAACACAGTTCTTCCCAGTAGCCCCCAGGAACCTTTGGGGCCTCTTCCCGCCCCCACCTCCCTTTACATCCCTGGATGGCACAGCCACCAGCTTCCTGAGACCAGCATCTTTCCCAGGCCCTGCTCCCAGGACAGCCAAGCCCCCAAATTCCTGAGGGCAGCATCTTTCTTGGAGGGATCCAGACCTTAGGAGAAAGCCTGAGAGCATCTGATCCTCATCTGACTTGGGCCTCTGTGGGAACTCCTGAAGACAAAAGCAATTTGGCTACTCCAATATAAAATCAAAAGAGAGAAACTGAAGCCTAGACCAACCAGCTTTTCATGCCCAACAAGTAAACCACAAAGGCACATAAAGTTTACAAAAAGAATCAGGCCTAAACGCAACAAAGGAAGACTTGAGTCTCACACAAGAGTCAGAAGCTACAAAAAAATTCACATGTCAAAGTCACAGAGAAAAAATAATAACATGAAAAACCAAAATAACATATCCCCATGAAGTACCAATAGTCCTCAAGAATAGTACAATGAGAACTCCCTAGAGATAACACAGGACATGGAACTCACAAGAACAATTATAAACATAAAAGAATTCAGTGAATTTAAAGAACACACAAAGAAAGAAATCAATGAACTGAAGGAAGATAGAAAAAAACTTCTAAATGAATTCAGAAAAGAGTTAGAAATATTGAAGAATACTCGGGCTGAAATGAAGAAGGAAGTGAAATACTCAGCCAATTAGAAATGACAGGAGAAAGCCTCACCAATAGGACAAATGAAATGGAAAACAGAATATCAAGACTGGAAGATGAAGTGGACAAAGTAGACCACTGAAGCAAAGATTATGAAATATTTAAGAAAACACAAGAATGGAATATGCAAGAATTGTGTGACACCATAAAAAGACCAAACTTATGGATTGTAGGCATAAAGGAAGGAGAAGAATCTCAAGATAATGGTATGGACCAGATCTTCAACAGAATTGTAGAAGCAAATTTCCCCAAATTAAAGAAAGACATGCTCATACAAATACAAGAAGCATATAGAATACCAAGTAGACAGTAGATAGAAAAGAAACTCCACAGCACATCATAGCAAAAACACTAAATGTACAGAACAGAGAGAGAATGCTGAAAGCTGCAAAAGAAAAAGTCACATAAAGGAAAACCCATCAGGATTACAGCTGACTTTTCAGTGCAAACTATGAAATCCAGAAGAGCCTGGACCAAAGTATTCCCAGTTCTAAATGACCAGAGATGCCAAACCAGATTACTTTACCCAGCCAAAGTGTCTATTACAGTTGAAGGGGAAATAAAAATCTTCCATGACATAAATAGGCTGAAAGAATTCATGTCCACAAAACCAGCCCTTCAGAGAGATCTTGAAGCAATACAAAGGGCTGAAGAAAGGAATTGACTATACCCAAGGGGTTACAGAAAGAAATTTAACGAAGGTATAACTGGAATTGCACAGCTATATCAAGAATGTGAACAGAAATAAAAATGACAGGATTCAATACACATCTTTCATTAATAACTTTAAGTATCAATAGACTGAGCTCCCAAGCCAAAAGACACAGACTAGTTCAATGGATTAAGAAACAAAATCCATCTTTGCTGTCTGCAAGAAATTCATCTAACTTTCAAGGACAGGCACTACCTTAAGGTGAAAGGATGGAAAAAAAAATACACCAAGCGAATGGTACTAAGAAAAAAGCGGGTGTTGCAATTCTAATATCTGTTAAAATAGACTTTAAACTAAAATTCAGAAGAGATAAAGAGAGTCACTTCATTCTGATCAAAGGAGCAATAAACTAAGAAGATATTACAATCACGAACATATATTCACCAAACTCAGGTGCACCCAACTTCATAAAAACAGTACTACAGGACTTTACGACCCAGATTAATCCCAACTCATTAATAGTAGAACTATTACTAATAGTAATGGGGACTAGTGAAATGGGGACTTCAATACCCTATTGTCTCTATTAGATAAGTCAAGTGGCCAGAGAATTAACAGAGAGACATCTGAATTAAACAATAGCATATATCAAATGTACCTAACAGATATCTACCAAATATTCCACCAAGCACCAAAGAATATATTTTCTATTCAGCACCCCAGTGGAACCATCTCCAAAATAGACCATTTACTGAGGCACAAAACAAACTTCAACAAATACAAAAAGATTGAAATAATTCCATGCATTTTATAAGACCACAATGCAATAAAGCTTAAAATCAACACCGGAAGAAACCCTAGTCACCGCATGAACACATGGAGATTAAATAACACACTCCTGAATGATGAATGGGTCAAAGGAGAAATTAAGAAAGAAATAAAAGTATTCCTGGAACTAAATGAAAGGGACAATACAACACAACAAATCCTGTGGGACACATTGAAAGCAGTTAGAGGGAAGTTAATAGCGCTAAGTTAAGTGCCTACATTAAAAAATCAGAAAGAACAAAAATAAATGACTTAAAATTGCAACTAAAGATACTTGAAAAGTAACAACAAATGAAACCCAAATCCAGCATACAAGAAGTAACAAAAATCAGAGCAGAAATTAATGAAATAGAAACAAAGAAAAAAATACAAAGAATCAATGAATCCAAGAGCTGGTTCTTTGAAAAGATAAATAAGATTGACAGACCACTAGCCCAGTTAACCAAAAGAAAGAGCACCTCCAAATCAACAAAATCAGAGATGAAAGGGGAAACATCACAGCAGACACCAGAAAGATCCAGAACATTATAAATGAATACTTTAAAAAATTATATGCTACAAGATTTGAAAACCTAAAAGAAATGGACAGGTATCTAAAAGCCTGGTAACCACCAACACTAAACCAAGAAGAGATTAACAGCTTAAACAGACCCATAACACATAAGGAAATTGAAACAGTAATACAAAACCTCCCAACTGAAAAAAGCCCAGGACCAGAGGGATTTACAGCAGAATTCTACCAGACATTTAAAGAAGATCTACATACAATACTACTTAATTTATTCAAAAAGATAAAAATGGAGGGAGAAATTCTGTCTGTGAAGCCAGCATCACTCTAATACCAAAGCCAGGTAAAGATACAACCAAAAAAGAAAGCTATAGACCCATAACTTAATGAACATAATTGCAAGAATTATCAACAAAATACTTCCAAACTGCATACAGACACACATCAAAAAGATCATCCACCATGATACAGTTGGCTTTATTTCAGAGATTCAGGGATGGTTCAATATATGTAATTAAATAAATGTCATAAATCATAAAAATAGGCTCAAAGACAAGAACCACATGGTCATCTCAATAGATGCAGAGAAGGCCTTTGATAAAATTCAACATGCATTTACGTTCAGAGTGCTAGAGGGAATTGGACTGGAGGGAACATAGCTCAACATAATTAAAGCCATATATAACAAACCCACAGCCGACATCATTCCAAATGGTGAAAAACTGGAAGCATTACCATTGAAATTAGGAACCAGACAAGGATGTCAACTATCTCCACTCCTCTTTATCATGGTGCTTCAAACTCTTGAAAGAGCAATAAGACAAGAGAAGAAAGTTAAAGGAGTAATGATTGGAAAAGAAGAGATCAAATTATGCCTTCTTGCAGATGATGTGTAGATATGTCTAAGACATGCCAAAAATTCCACCAGAAAACTTCTAGAAATTATTAACACATCCAGTGAAGTGGCAAGTTACAAAATTAATCTACAAAAGTCTGTAACCTTTCTACGTAGCAATAATAAGCAATCAGACAAAGAGTACATGGAGACACTCCCCTTCACAGTAGCTGCAAAAAAAAAAATACATCTCAGAATAAACCTGATCAAAGACATAAAAGACCTCTACAATGAAAATTTTAAATATTTAAAGAAAGATTATGGAAGACATCAGAAGGTGAAAGGACCTCCCATGCTCATTTACTGGAAGAATTGATATTGTGAAAATGACCATCCTACCAAAAGACATTTATAGATTAAATGCAATGCCAATCAAAATCCCCATGACTTTCTTCAGAATTGGGAAAAAAACCATCCTAAGATTGATATGGAAGCACAAAAGACCTTGGATAGCCCAATGAGCCCTGAGCACTAAGAGCAATGCTGGGGGGGATTACTACACCAGATTTTAGAGCTATACTCATAAAAACAACATGGTACTGGCACAAAAATAGACCCAGAGGAAATAGACACAGAAGAAACATTTCCTACATGCTTCCAAGCAAAGCCAGCCATGTTCAAGAAGGACCTTTGACTTATCTTCACATAGGTAGAACTGATAAAAGA